CCAGCTAAATTCCAGAACTTTTATTCTTCTTTAGTACTGGGGATTAAACCCAGGGCCTTTGCACTGATCTGCATCCCCAACCCTTTATTGATTTTTTATTTTGAGAAGAATCTCCCTAAATCTTCAGGCTGGACTTGAACTTGTGACCCTCTTGCCTCAGGTCCTCAGAGTGCTGGGGTTACAGGCATGCGCCACAATGTGTAGCTAATTCCAGAATGTTTTTATTACCACACAAAGAAGACCAGTTCAACAGCAGTCATTCCCCATCCTTCCCAGCCACACCACCCTGAAGCAATCTCTAATATCTTTTCTGTTTCTAAGGGTTTGCCTTGGATGTGACATTTAAAGGGAATCTTTAAAGCTGGGTGTGGTGGTGCACCCGTCTAATCCCAGGACTCTGGGAGGGTGAGAGAGGAGGATCAAAAATTTGAGCCCTGCCTGGGCAATTTAATGAGGGTGCAGTGGGTTTTTTTGGGTTTTTTGGGCACAGGGTCTCACTATGTAGTTCAGGCAAGTGCTGAAACTATAGGCGTGGGCCACCGGGCACAGCAGAATGTATTCTTTTTTGTCTCCTTTCTTTTTCTAGGTTTCTAAGTTCTCCCATACTGTAACATGTGTCAGTTTGTTAGGGTTGTCATAACAAAGTAACAGGAGCTGGCTTAAACAATTTTCTTGCAGTTCTAGAAACTAGAAATCTAAAATCATGTGTTGGCAGGCTTGTTTTGTTTTGGCAATACTGGAAATTGAACCTAGAGGCACTGTACCACTGAGCTCCATCTTCAGCCCCTTTTCATTTTTTATTTTCAGACAGATTCTCACTAAATTGCCCAAGCAGGACTCAGATTTGTGATCCTCCTGCCTCAGCCTCCCTCGGTGCTGGGGTGACAGGGGTGCACCACCGCGCTGTGCTAGACTTGTTTCTAAAGCCTCTCCTTGGCTTACAGATGGTCATCTTCAGTCTTTCCTCCCTCTGCACACACGTGTGTCCAGTGTCTTTTTACAAGGACACTCTTCATATCAGAGGGAGCTCACACATATAACTTCACTTTACCTTCATTATTGTGAAGGCCGGGCCTCCCCAGGAGGCACCTGGAGAGGAGTCCATATAGCCCTTGGTGCCATGAGTGTGTTAATTAATTTCCCAATAAAGAACAAGATGCAGAGACAATCATCAGAGTAAAGGCAGGATCAGAGCAGAACAGAGCTGGAGTGTTTGCTCTACAGCTCAAGAGCTGTGTATCTCTTTATTCCTTCAGCAAAACAGCTATCAAAAGGCGACAGTGCTCTCTAGTTCACAGCAGTTATAGTGCCTTAACAGCTTACAGAGACATAGTGAGACAAAACACCAGCCCAGTGACCTTGGCCATGCCACATATGAGTGGTTAAGTATGTTAAGTCACTCTTATGTAACTGTGGCCCATTATGTGCATGTCCCTGAGAGTGGGGTTGAGTCCTTAAGTGTCCTCAGATGCACTTACGTCTCCTGGGCTTTGAGTATAATCAGAAGTGGTGGTACCCCATAATTATCCTTTTATTTTTTTGTACTAGGGATCAAACTCAGGACCTTGTGTTTTTGAGGCAGACTCAGGAACCACTGAACTAAATCCCCAGCTCCAGATATCTTATTGAAATAAAGGACACTAGAACATCCTCAGTGGCCAGGACAATGACAAAGACTGCCCAGCTCATGGGGTTGGAGTTTGTGTGTCTGGCCCAGGTCTCCCCCAAACCAGGCAGTGGATACAGCCTGGCAGATTTATGGCCTATAGGTGGCATCCTCCCCTACTCCTGCAGAAGCCCTCTTCACTGTTGGTCCTTACCCAGGCTGTTCCCTGAGATGCCAGAAAGGCAGGCCAGGGCCTGGCTGGGCACGCAGGTAAAACTGAACATGAAACCCTCCCTTCCTGGCTATAATGGCCTGAAGTCCTGCCCTGTCCAGGCAGCTCTTAACTCTGCCTGCAGTCTTGTCTCCCGCCTCCATAGCCTTCAGTTTCCAGTCACCCTTTCCAGCCCACCTGCACCCACACTGTTGACAGAGAAACCTTCTTACTGCCCATCACACCTCAAAGGACCCTGGGTGCCCCTCCCTTCCTTGCGACCTGGCTCTGGGCAGTTCTCCACCCCGCTGGCCTGGGTACACTCTGTGTCTATGCTCCATCCTTCAGGTGTGTGGGTGGTGCTGACCCCACTGGCAGCAGCACCTCTGTGCTCCTCCTGAAGCAGGAGTCCTGCTTTTAGGATGTTTAGTCCTGTGAGGCTGGCTAGCTCTTCTGATGGAGGGGAGCCAGTGCCATTAGCACCCCCAGCTCTCGGGTCCCTCCTCAGAGCTCCTTTCCTATCAGACTAGAATCATTTTTAGGAATTTGGACCCAGGGCATTGACACTGAGCTATATCCACAGTATTTTTTTTTTCAGACAGGATCTGGCTAAATTGCTAAATTTCCCAGGCCGGTTTTGAACTTGCAATCCTCCTGTCTCAACCTCCCAGAGTGCTGGGATTAACACGCTCAGTTTAGACTGAGACCTCCTGGTGCTGGAGGTAGAACTGATGTCTAATTATTCTGTAATCCAGCCCCACCCCATGCCTGGACTGGGACCTGGCACAAGGACAGTGAAAACTCATTTGCTGAATGATAAAGGTCCTGTAGAAGTCCCACCCATTGGAGCAGGTGTCATCTACTCCTCTGTTTCCAACTGGATTTAGATTTTGTGACCTAACAGATTTCTAGGTGTGAGCTTTCACTGTCACAAAGCTGAGTGGAGATAAGCACCAAGCCAGCCCAGATGCACCTGGGTAGAGGCCACTGCTGCAAAGATGAGGTCTCCCTGGGGGGCTTCCCACTCCGCCCACTCTGCACTGGCCCCTTCCAGAAGTGGGGTGTCTCGGATGTGCTCCCTCACCTTACTCCTGGACTTCTTAGGCTCCCATCTTAGCCTTGGAGATGTTCTTCAGGCAGGGACATCTGCTACCTCTCATTGAAGCCTGCTCCTGGGTTAGCAGGCTGAGGTGGGGTGCTCTTGGGTACAAAGCCAATGCACCCATCAAAAGCCTGGAAGCCGGGAGTGGTGGCACATGCCTGTAATTCCAGCACTCGGAAGGCAGAGGCAGAGGATTGCTGTGAGTTCAAGGCCAGCCTGGGCTACATAGTGAATTCAGGGCCAGCCTGAACTACAAAGTGAGACCCTGTCTCAGAGAGAAAAAAAAAAAGCCTAGAAAGTTCACCTGCTGGGTTGGTGGGGTGCAGAACAGAAAGTTCAGGACCTGCTTTCTGGCAGGGGCAAATTAGTACTTTGAAGTTCGGGAAAAAACATTCCCCTCTCCCCCATGCCCAGGTGATTTTCCCCCATGCCCAGGCTGGAAGGGGACTTACCTGTCCAATCAAGAGACAGAGCTGAAGAGAGAGAGAGAGACAGACAGACAGACAGACAGAGTTCCCATGGCTTCTCTGATACTAGCAGGCTCTGCCTACACTGTCCTGGTAACTGGATAGCCTGGTAAATTCACCCTTACTCAGAACTCCCACCAGTCTCCCATTGTGCAGGGCCTCAGTCAATGGTTCCTGTTTTCCTTAGATGCTGAGCCCAGGGGCAGCTCAGGGTACCTTAACTATCACGATAGTTTACATTTTTTCCCCACTTCTCAGGCCACCCCTGAGTCACACAGTTCACCTGAACCCCTTGGCCCTCCAAAGGTTCTCATCAGGAACAAGAGAGCAGCCAGGAATGGTGGTACACAGCTATAATCCCAGTACTTGGGAGGCTGAGGGAGGAGGACCTCTGCAAGTTGAAGGCCAGCCTAAGCTACATAGTGAGTTCAAGGCTAGCCTGGAATATGTACTTAGATAGACCTAACAAAAAAAAAAGGAAAAGAACCCCCAGCAGGGCTGGGGGTATAGCTCAGTGGTAGAACACTTACCTAGCATGTATGAGGCCCTGAGTTAAAGCCCCAGCATGGAAAAAAATAACCCAAAATGCCCCCACAAAAAGTACCCCCAAGCCTTGAGGGGGGGGAATGGGATAATTTAATAAAATTTATTAAAACAAACAAAAGTACCCCCAAAATCAGGGCAGGCAGCCAGTGCCAGAGTCTGGGTGACAGGACTCACTGGTCCAAAGCTTAGCCAGAGCCAGTGGGGTATGCAGGGAGGGAGCTGTCTTCCCTGCAGAGTCCCTGGTCCAGGGCAGAAACCTTTCTCTTGTCACCCGCAGAAAGGTTTATTTCAGGGTTCTGCCTGCAAAGTGACTTACAAATCCATCCTTCCCACTGGGCCAGTCTGCTCCTGAGACCTGGGGCTATGCCTTCCCCACCAGAGCCCCTGCAGCACGGCCCCCTCCCCGTCCGTCCTGCAGCTGCTGTGGAGTTGGGCAGAAAGGCAGCTCAAGCTGTTATCTCTCCAGACAGCTGTGCTGGAGAGGGCTGCTTATCAGGAAGCCTGCAGTGATTCACAGCCTAGTCCCAGCTTCTCTGCTGAATAGTAATTTCCAGCTTGGATCTGCACTGTCTCTCCTCCCCCTCTCCCAAGGGTGTGCTGTCCTTTTGCAGAGAGAGGGCAGTGAAGGGGAGTCTCCCATGGGGACGACGATTTGTGCCAGCCTTCCTGGCAAGGCTGTTGGGACAAGGCTGCAGGTTCAGGGACCCTAGCATTTGCCGTCCTTGGCAGTGACCTGCAAGAGCACTCTTCCACACTCTTCTTTCTCCCTCTCTTAAAAAGGTAATGTCCTGCTTCCTGTCCCTTTGTGGGGATGCACAGGATGACACAGTCCTCCTTCTGGACCCAAGCTCCCAAGTCCAGAGACACCCAGGGAGGGCAGGGGACAGAGAAGCCAGAGACTGGACAGCACTCCTTGTGCCATCCGGAGGCTGTCTGGTTCCTGTGCTAGACCCTGAAGACCCAAAGGCGCGCGGGGGTGGGGTGGGGGTGGTGTCCCAAGGCTAAGCTGAGGGCAGGGGGTTGGGCTGTGGACACAGCATCGGGTTAGGAAGAAACTTGGGGACAGAGCGATTTATGCATTTGTTTTATTGGAAGCAAGACTCCAGCTGTGGGGCTCAGGTAGGGAAAGTTCCATCCTGGGTCTCTCCCTCCAGGACGACTTGGGGAAGGGGATGTTAAAACAATGAAAAGAAAAAGAAAACTGGTCCCAGGGTTGGGGGCAGAACACAGACAGGCTCCACATCTGATTCCTCTAGCCTCAAGGGGTCAGTTTCTCAGCCTATGAACTCCTGTTCCTGCTGGGGGCGATTCCAAGAGCTCTTCTAGGCTGCAGAGTCCGGGTCCCCAACAAGAAGGTAGGTGTCTTTAAGCCCCACATGGTCCCAAACAAGGCCCACTGTTCCCTAGGAAGGTCTCAGGATGGTCCAGTAAAGCTGAAGGTGGAGCTCAGTCTCTTGGGAACAACCTCCTACCAAACCTCCCTGGCTGGTCAGGATCCTGTCCTGCCACTCCTGGGCCCCCTCTCTGGTAACCTTGGGGTTCATGCTGCCGGTCTGAGGTGCTGTTTCCAGGATGTGGGCGCTTAAGGACCAAGTCGTGGAAGTTGGAGGTGTGTCTGAAGGTGGAGGCGCTGAAGATCCAGAGGCCCAGGTGGTCCAGGTAGCTCAGGCCGTGCGGTCCTCTTCCCCAGCCCCCGGCTCGGGCTGAGATCTCTTCGGGGCTCCCTCTCCAGCCGCGGTGTTCCCCGGGCCCCTCTTGGCCGTCGGCGCGGCGGGAGAGGACGGCGGGCCGGGGCGGGGGCCCGGGGGCTGGTAGCCGGGCTGGCGCGGGTCCAGCGCGTCCTTGGACAGCAGGATGGCGAGGCCGGGCACGTTCTTGAGGACACTGAGGCTGGCGGGTGGGCAGCCCGGGTCCGGGGGCAGGCTCTGCCACACCTCGCGCACGCTTCGGTAGCGCAGCCGCGTGACCTGGTGCAGCCCCGCCAGGCGGCGCTTCAGGATCTCCGCGCATGTGACGGTCTTGGTGGCGGCCCGGCCGCAGCCGCTGAAGACGATGGCGCGCGTGGCCGGCTGCGCCATGCTGGCAGTGGCGAAGGCCAGCAGGTTGCGGATCTTGCTGCCCTCCTTGACCCGCATATGCACAGCGCCGGGCGCCAGGTCAGCGAAGGGCCCCGTGCCCGCGCTGCCCTCCTCGGGCCCCTCCTCCGAGCGCACCTTACGGAAGTTCTCCATGCGCCCTGGTCGCCATCCGGCCCCTCAACCTCGGGGCTGCATGGCCCGGCTTGGACGCGGCGGCGGGAGGCGACCCTCGGTGTCTAAGTCCCTCTCCAGCAGGCTCAAACCCGCTCTGCGCCCTCCACGATCTGCGCTCTCCCTTCCCTGAGCTGCTAGCGTTGGCCGAAGCCCAGCCAGAGAGCTGGGAGGCCCCGCCCCTTACCCAGGACTGGCGGAGCGTCTGTCCCCGCCCCTCTCCGGGCCCGCCCTTAAGAGGCCCCGCCCCTCTCGGCACTAGCGTGTTCCCAGGCCCCGCCCTTCCTGGTCTCAGTCCCGCCCCTAGGGCTCCGCCCCCTCCCAGGACTGGTCCGCTCCAGGGCCCGCCTCCAGACCTCCGCCCCCTCCCTGTCCCTGCCCTTCGGAACCAGCAGAATCCTCAGTGAGCTCGAGAGCGAGCCACGTGGACCCGCCACCGCGACTGCTGAGCATCCCTACTAAAAGGGCCGTCGCCGCTTCTAGCCAAGTCCCCGGGCGCTCCAGCTCCAGGGAAAGGCGCCCCCACCCCGGGGAGGCTTCCACGTGGGCCCCGCGCCCCTGCCTTCCAGGGTCCCGCCTCCGAGCACCTAGCAGCTAGGAGCTGTGCACAGCCGAGGGGCCGCGGCCCTCGGACAACCCTGCCGCGCAGTTCTCGCCACGCTTGGGGATCCCAAGGCTCCCGGGGGCCAGCACGTCTGGGGCTGCGCCCTAGAGCGAACGGGGAAAGCAAGGAGACTTCTCATCCAGAGACGCTGAGCTCCCTGCTCCATTCCTGGAGTTCACTTCATTTTCCTTACTTCCCACTGAGCTATGCCTCCAGCCCTTTTTGCTTAGAGACCGGGTCTCGCGAAGTCCATACATTGCTCAGGGCAGGCTCGAACTTGTGGTCCTGCCTCAGCCTCCCTGAGAGCTGAACGTCCACTCCGAGAGCCGCCTGGTTTGGGGAAGTGCCGGCCTTGCGCCTGCCCACGAGGACGCCCCCTCCTCCCGGTGGCCTGGTCGGTCGTTCTCCGAGGAGGAGACGAGCGAGAGCGTGTTGGAGAGGTGGAGGCAGCCGCAGCGCCCGGCCCTGTGCGGCCCGAGCCTGAGCGCTGCCCCCGCCCCTCCTCCGTCTGTTCTGAGACCGGAGCCCCCGGCGTGCTCGACAAACACCCGGCCTCGCCCCGGTCCTGCGGTCTCCACGCGGGCCCGCGGCCCGGTGAGGACACGGGGACCTCGGTGCCAGAAGCGGGGAACCCGGGCTGCGTGAGGCCGTGCGGGGCCCCACTAAAGCACCGCGGGTCCGCTCGGCCTGGGCAGAAGCCCCAGGGACTAGAGGCTGCCTTGGCTCGGTGGGCTGGGGACCAAGCGAGCCTCGGGTCCGCCAAACCAAGCAAGCCTAGCTCGGGCGTGGGGCGGAGCAGTCGGGGACCTGGCATCAGGAGGACCGGGGCCAGAAGAACCCCAGTTCACTGCACCCGCAGGCCTCGGGGGAGAAATCACGGAGAGGCCTCACCTGCTTCTCTTTCTCCCGCTCCCGCTGCGACAATTAAAATGCAAATGCGCTGCGACAGCCGGATCCGGGTGACACCGCTGTGTTCCTGCCCGGCCCGGGGCTAGGGTGCGGACTGAGCCGGTGCTGGGGCCCGCACAGAGAGCGGGAAGGTGTCCGGGAGGCCGAAGGAATGCGAGCAGCGGAGACGGGAGACGCGGGAGGAGGCAAGGGGGGTGGGGTGGAAACCAGGCCGGGCGGCCGGGCAGGGCAAAGGGCGCAGAAACCCGAGGGAGGGCTCATCCGTGCAGCCTCTGTGCATTGCCCACCACGGTGGAACGAGTCAGGATGTCGTGTTAAAACAGCCAGGTGCGCCGGGAGGGTGGATCTGTAATACAGCGCTTTGGGAGGCTGAGGCAAGAAGTTCACAAGTTCAAACCCAACCTGGACAATTTAACTTTTTTTCTTTTGGTACTGGGGATTGAACTCAGGACCTTGCTCTTGCCAGGCAGGCACAGTGCCACTGGGCTAAATCCCCAAACTTTTTTTTTTCTTGGGACAGGGTCTCCCTATATATTTCAGGCTGTCCTTGAGCTCACTACGTAGTCCAGGCTGCCAAGAGACTCAAGGCAACCCTTCTGCCTCAGCCTCCTGAGTGCTGGGATTACAGGCACCTGCCACCACACCCAGCAATTTAACAAATCAGTGAGACCCTGTTTTAAAAAGGCTGGGATGTAGGTCAGGGTGAAGGCCCTAGGTTTAATCCCTGGTACTGGGGAGGGAAAAGGCCAGGTACCCAACCCAAACACATAGTAGGACCCCATTAGGAAAGAATAAAAGAGGGCCGGGGATTTATCTCAGTAGTTCTGCCGCCTGCCTCGAAAGTGCAGGGTCCCAAGTTCAATTCCTGGTCCCAAAATAAATAAATGACAAAGGAAAAAATAAAAGCTATTTCCTTGTGTATATTTCTATAGATGTAAATGTGTTTTTTGAGACAAAGTCTTGCTGTGAGGTTCAGGCTGGCCTTGAAGTCACTGTGTATTCCAGACTGGCCTTGAATGCATGGAAATACTCCTGCCTCAGCCTCTCCAGTGCTAGGATTACAATCATGTGCCACCATGCCCGGCATAAATGTATTTTTAAAAATAATCTTGGCCGGGGATTTAGCTCAGTGGTTCAGTCGCCTGCCTCGAAAGCGCAAGGTCCCAAATTCGATCTCCGGTACCAAAAAAAAAAAAGAAAAAAAAGGGTAGTAAAAATAATCTGCAAGAAAATAGCACACTGATGTCTGTTAAATCTGCAGCCACATCTGATTTCTGCTGCCCTCTTTAGGAAAGGGCCATTGAACATGAATGCAAAGTCAAGTATGGTATAGCATCTTGGAACAGCCTGCATATGGGAGGTACTGGGCCGGAAGCCCAAGCGTTATCAGAAGACTCTGCATCTGTGTGACCTGGATGTGTCACTTCCCCCCATACTGGTCACGTGTGAAATGGAGCAGATGGACAGATGGACAGTAAACTGCCTTCATGGGGTGGCTGTGAGAATCACCACAGTCAGAATCTTGGGTGGTGAGGTTTCGGGTGGCTGTTGTCACTTTGTGTGTGTGTGTGTGTGTGTGTGTGTGTGTGTGTGTGTGTGTGTGTGTGGTCCTAGGGACTGAATCCAGTACCTTGCATAGCACTCTTACCACTGAGCTACATCCCCGGCCCTAGCCCTAATTTTTGTATATTATTTGTTATTAAAATAGAAAGGCTAGGGCCAGGGATGTAGCTCAGTGGTGCTGCCACCTGCCTCGCTAGCGCAAGGTCCTGAGTTCAATGCCTGGCCCCAAAATAAAACCAAAAACTTTTAATTAATTAATTAATTAATTAAAAAGGCTGGGGATATAGCTCAGCACCACAGCAACTGCCTGGCAAGCGCAAGGCCCTGAGTTTAATTCCTGGTACCAAAATAATAATAATAATAATAATAATAATAATAATAATAGTAAAAAATCTTTAAAATTGTCAGAGAAGGCTGGGGATTTAGCTCAGTGTGGCTGCGCCTGACTCGCAAGCACAAAGTCCTGATTTCAATCCCCATTTCCCCCCCAAAAAAAATCATCAAAGAGAGACCAGGGGAAAGAAGGCTGGCAGCAGGGAAATGGGAGTCTTGGAGCTAGGCCGCAGCTTCCCATTGCCAGGAGCCCGTGAATGGAGTTGAGACTCTTCTCCCTCTGCAGGAGACCACACCCAGGCAGGAGGCACGGTCTTACTCTGCAGAGGCCCTTCCCACAGAGCGCGCTGCCTTCCTCCTCCAGAGTCCACCTCTCACCCCAGAGGGAAGGGAGATGTGACAGACCAGTCTCTTCTGCTCCACCTCCCGTAGCGGTGGCAGAAACTCTTGTCTCTCTCAGGGCAGGGGTTGGGAATCAGGGTCAGGAGCCCAGGGAGTGGAGTCATCAGACATGGGCTCGATCCCCTGTACAATGAGGAGGATCGTGATTGTTGGACAGATGTGGAAGCTGAGAGCCTTGAGACCCAGAGAGATTAAGGAACTTGGAAATGTGCCACAGCTTGAAAGCAGCAAGCACAAGTGTTCAAACCCAAGTATTCTAGCTCCTACTACCTGGGCTGAGTGTTAGGGGAAATACATTTTTATTTATTTTTGTTATTTATTTTGCAGTACTTGAGATTGAATCTGGAGTGCTGAGCTACATTCCCACCTGTTTTTATTTTTTTATTATTTTAAAATAAATTTTATTTTATCCCATTCCCCCCCTCAAGCCCCCTTCCCTCCCTATGTACAGAAGCTTTGTTTCCATTTTTTTCTTCTATTTTCACTTTTCTTCTTGTCCCTTTCTTTCTCCCTCCATTCCCCCTTGTCCCCCTTCCCAACTGAACATTTCCCTCCCATTTCCCAATATTTAGTATATATTTTAGTCCTTATTTCCATTTTTGGTTCCTCACACCAGAGAAACAATTCGGTATTTAAACATTTGTGTCTAGGGGGCTAGAGATTTAGCTCAGTGGTTCCACTGCCCGCCTTGGAAGTGCAAGGTCCCAAGTACCATCCCCAGTACCAAAAACCAAAAACCAAAAAATAAACATTTGTGTCTAATTTATTTCACTTAAGAGTATGATCTCAAGGTCCATCCATTTAGCTATAAATGTCTGAAGCTCATCCTTCTTCTATTTTTTTTTTTTTTTTTTTTGGTAACGGGGATCAAACTCGGAACCTTTTGCATGCTAGGCAGGCAGCAGAAACCCTGAGCTAAATCCCCAGCCCAAAGCTATCCTTCTTTATGGCAGAGTAGTAGTCCATTGTATAGAAAAACCACATCTTTTTTACCTATTTGTCAGTTGATGGGCATTTGCGCTGTTTCCAAGCTTTAGCTATTACAAACTGTGCCACTATAAATATGGGTGTGCATATATCGCTGTGGCTTGATGCTTTTAATTCTTTTGGGAAGATACAAAAAACTGGAATAGCTGGATCTAATGGAACCTCTAGTTTTAGTTTTTTGAGAACTTTCTGCCATCATGCCTGGCTTAGTTTTATTTTATTTTTATTTTTAAATTTTTATAGTACTGGAGATTGAACCCAGGGCTGTCTCATTGAGCTACATCCTCAGCTGCACCTTCTTTCAAATTTTTATTCTGAGACAGGGTCTCACTAAGTTGCTAAGTAGCCCAAGTTGGGCTCAAACTTGAGATCTTCCTGCCTCAGCCTCCCAAGTGTTGGGATTATAAGTATGAATGACTACATCCAATTTTAGTTTCATTTATTTATTTCTGCTTTTTTGAGACAGGGTCTGGCTATGTAGTTCAGGATGGGATTGAACTCACTTTGTAGCCCAGGCTGACCTAGAACTCTAGGTGATTCTCCTGCCTCAGCCTCCTGAGTGCTGGGATTACAGATGTGCACAACCATTCTCAGCTTTCACACAATTTCTAAGGGCCAGAAATCCAGGAGCAGCTTAAAGTGGTGCACCTAGCTCAGGGCCTCTCCTGGGACTGGAGGGTCCACTCCCAAGTCTGTGCACGGGAGTGTTGGTTGTTCGGAGGCCGAAATCCTCCATGACCTGCTGTCCATACAGCCAGCCTCCTGAGAGCCAGGCCTGAGGGCCTGCTGGGAAGCCACCATGTCTTTGAGGCCCAGCCTCCTCCAAAGTCTCACACCATCATCTCCACAATGTTTGCACTTTATTTGTTGGAAGGGAGGCCAGCCCCCTCCACAGGGAGGGGAATTGACATCCACTTCATGAAAGAGGAGCAGCAAAGAACTGTGGGTGTTTCAAAAGCAGCAGGGAGCAGGAATCAACTTATAGAAGCAGATTTATGCAAAGAACACTGACCTTGAATCCAGGAGGCTGTTTATTTCCTGGCATA